ATGATGCTGCTTGGCCTGCTGTGTTCATCCAGCCCTGCACCTTGTTGTCTCGTTACCTAAATATTGCTTGCTGATTTTCTTTTTATGATTTTTTATAGCACATTTCACAACCTCAGGACTTTCTAGACAATTTACAGCCAATTAATAATTTTGTTTTTAAGCGTAATCAGTAGCATAACGTAAAAAAATGCTGCATTCAATTTGTGCACAACAAACATCCAAAAATTAAAATTAATGACCAGATAATCTGTTTTAAGCATATTTTTGAGAGATCAGTATTGGCCAAGACACTGGGGAGAATTCACCTGCTCATTATTGGACCTTTAACATGCATCCAGAGGACAAACAGCACCTTGTTTCATCTCACCTGGAAAAACATCAGCTTCAATCAAAATGATGTGCTCAACTAAATCTCTGAAGAGGAACTCAGTGTGAGCCTACAGTTAGGGCACAAATGATATAGGAGATAGGTTTCTTCCTAGCCACGTTAAAACAAGAAAGCTTGTCAATGCTGAAATGCAGAAAACAACAAAAGTATCTGGAAATATTCAGATCTATCAATGTCTGGGACAGATAAACAAACATCTTTGCTCAGATCTTATCCATTTGGCCACTGGGGCTCAGTGGTTAGCACTGCTGCCTCACAGCGCCAGGGACTTGGGTTTGATTCCACCCTCGGGTAACTGTCTGTGTGGAGCTTCCCGTGGTCTGCATGGGTTTCCTCCGGGTGCTCCGGTTTCTTCCCACAGTCCAAAGATGTGCAGGCTAGGTGGATTGGCCGTGCTAAATTGCCCATAGTGTTCAGGGATGTGTAGATTAGGTGGGTTATAAGGGAATGGGTCTGGGTGGGATGCTCTGAGGGTCGGTGTGGACTTGTTGGGCCAAAGGGCCTGTTTCTACACTGTAGGGATTCTATGATGTTAGAGAACCAGTGCTGTCAAGGTTGCACTGAGAGTCTTGATCTATCATTGAAGTAAAGAGCTGTCAACAAGAAACAAATATTTGGATTAAGAACTGAAATAAAAATGAATGTCAGATTACAGAACCATCCAAACATAGATGGCTACATTTATTTGTAAGCTTGATATTAATTATGTCAGATTTTTAAATGAAACTTAGAGAACCAGTCTTTTCCCAGGGTTGGGCAATCAAGGACTAGAGGGCATCAGTTTAAGGTAAGAGAGGAAAGAATACATGGGAACCTGAGGGGCAACTTAGTTACACAGAAGTTGGTACACATAAGGAATGAGCTGCCAGTGGAAGTGATTGAGGCAAATACATTAACAACATTTAAAAGGCATTTGGATGAATACATGGACAGGAAAGGTTTAGAAGGATATGGGCCAAGTGCAGGGAAATGAGGTTAGTGTGATGGACATTTTGGTTGGCATGGACCCATTTGGGCTGAAGGGCCTGTCTCCGTGCTGTAGGACTCTGACTCTAACTGAAAGAACTGTGGATGCTGGAAATCAGGAACAAAAACAGAAATTGCTGGAAAAACTCAGGTGTAGCAGCATCTGTGGAGAGAAAACAGAGTTCATGTTTCCTTCTTCAAAACTGATGGTTGATATTTATGTAGAAGATGGGGTGGAGGGGAAGGGGGAGAGTAAACAATAGGAAGTAGGGTTTGACATCATGTCATGCCCTGAGCTTCCAGTTGCCTGCCACTTCAACACACTACCTTATTCCCTGGCCAACATCTCTGTCTCAGGCTTGCTGTAATGCTCCAGCAAAACTCAGCACAATCTAGAAGAACAGCAAGTCATTTTCTGCTTGGGAACTCTACAGCCTTCTGAACTCAATATTGACTTCAATAATTTTAGGGTAGAGGCCATGCCCTTAACCCAACCTCCACACATCAAGCTTCGTCATTGCATGTTACTGTACATGACCCATCAGCTACTAATAGTTCCATTAGCAGCTATTCATTTTTATCTTTAATCACTCCTTTGTCTGTCCAACTGTTTTTCTTTCTCTTTCCACCTATCCTTTTGTTCTCCCCCACCCCTCCACTCCATTTTCTGCATAAATATTAACCTTTTCATAGCTACCATCAGTTCTGAAGAAGGATCACTGAACTTGAAACATTAACTGTGCTTTCTCTCCACAGATGCTGCCAGACCTGCTGAGTTTTTCCAGTAATTTCTGTTTTTCTTTTTGTTAAGAGAACCTGAGTCCTAATAGAGTTAACAGGCCAGCGATGAGGCTGCCTATTGTCCATTTTTGTGACTGCATTCCATCCAGGTTTGTGCTTATTCCTCAGATTAAAACACTTCAAAACTTCATGGGAAGAAACCAAACCTCACAAGACACCAAGAAAACACCAAATAACGTTCCCCTAAATGTTAAACCTTATAAGAAAAAGCCATAGGAATTTTTCCAACAGTCATGGCAAACACCACAAAGCTCGCTCTAGATGAGAACATCATTCCAGGGTTAATTCCAGGTGAACAAACACAATTCTGGTAAAATAAACATTCATAAGAATAATATAAAATTTATTTCATATTCAAAGTTTAAAATGCACTAATGTAAACATTATCACTTTGGAATGGAATGGATTTAGATACAGGATAAACTTATCCTTCCTGTCCCATCAAACACTTGTTTATCATGTATCTAAATCCATTCCATGGTGCAGAGTAATGCTCACTCTACACTTTCCCCTTTAAACTCTCCCAGGACAGGTACAGCATAGTGCTAGATAAAAAGTAAAACTCCTTCAACACTGTTTTCATCAAACATTCCCAGGACAGATACAGATTCGGGTCAGATAAAGAGTAAAGTTCCCTCTACACTATCTCCATCAAACACTCCCAGGACAGGTCTACCACTGGGTTAGAGACACAGTAATGTTCTTCCACACTTTCCCAATCAAACACCCCAAGGACGGTACAGCATCGGCTTGAGCAAAGTTCCATCCCGAATGTTCACATGTAGGCTGCTGAGTATCTTCACACATTAACGTATCTGAAGCTGAGTGAGAGAAATCAGATGAAGAACTCAGACCTGGTTCTGCAGGCTCGTATCTGAAGCTTGGTTATCAGGTTGTGATTTACAGAAAGCATCCTGGCGAGATCCACTTGTAACAACAAATTTCACTTTTAACAAAATGTTCAGGCTGTTTTCTGCTTTAACAGGAAAGAGGATAATAATCTGAAATACTCATTTCTGCTTAATAGATGGCAGATCATTTGCTTTGGTGGAAGTTTTAAGTGCTAGGACACCAAGGTAACATATAACAAGTTAGAAGTTATCAGAGATGTTCTGGACATTTTCACAAGGGGTTACAGAATAGCCCTTCCTTGTATCGATGTTGAAATGCAATTGTATTCAAAAGGCAATTCACTATCATTTTTATTCAACCTCTCTTTATTTAATCAATTTAGGTTAGAAAGCTCGTAATAATTTTTTAATACTTGATTCCTCTCAAAAATAAAAATTATACCCATCAGACCCAATCAAACTCAGTAGGTTGCTCACCTCAGCACTGTCCTTACATAATTCAAATGGTTTCATTTTTCAGACTATTACTGCCAAAGAGTGTGGGAGACATGCCTTTGTTTTAATATATTTTACTTATAAGTCAATTTGTTTTGAAAGATATTTCAGAAAAACAGTGCTAAGGAACATTATTCAGTAATAGATGCAGTTCCACCTGTGACTTCAGCATCACTCACATCACTTCGCACTTCTGAGATGAATCCATCTCTGTATTCGCCTGTCTACGTATTTTCTCTGTTTGAACAAAGACAGTTCTGGTAAAATAAACATTCATAAGAATAATATAAAATTTATTTCATGTTCAAAGTTTAAAATGCACTGCTATCCCAGGTAAGACTGACATAATTCAAACTTTGTGATGTAATAGATCAAACCCCTACCATACCACTCACATCGCACAGAATGCCAATAGACTAGATCTGTTCTAATTTACTGTAATCCTACAGAATCCCAATGACCCACAGATTTCCCATTCACTCATTATATTGAACACCAATAAACTGAATCTCTATTCACAATTATCATACAGAACACCAATGGAACACCTATTCATTTATTATATAGAATCCCAGTATACAAGATACCCTCCTTATCACCTCATCATATGGAATCAAAACAAACAATGTTCCTTTTTAATCATGCCCATCAGAAGGATCCCAATGGATCAGATTCCTTTCTAATCACTCCCATCATACAGAATGTGAGAAGCCCAGAACTCTTCCGAATCATGCCCATTGTATTCAATCCCTCTGGATCAGATCTCTTTATAGTAATGCCCATCAGACAGGATCTGAATGTACCAGATCCTTTCCCAATCATACCCATTATACAGAATTCCAATAGAGTAGATCTCTTCAATCTGATTGTACAGAATCCCAATGGACCAAGTTCTTATTTATTCCCATCATTCAGAATCCCAATGGACCAAATCCCTCTTTCCTTTCATCACACAAAATCCTAACATATCAGATCCCTTTTATTTAACTGCTTTCACACCAGATCACTTCTTATTCACTCCTCTCACAGAATTCCATTAGACTAGTTCTCTTCCAAATCAGCCCCATTATACAGAATCCATACAGTCTGGTGCCTATTTACTCCTGTCATGTACAATCCTAATGGATATGCCCTTAATAATTACTCAGACAGGAATGGCCAATGGATATTTTTTGTGATGAAGGGAGGTTTGTAGTCAAATTTCCCAGGGGTCAGTATTGGGACTCTTGCTTTTCCTGATAAATATTGATGATCTGGATATAGATTTGCAGAGAAAATTTCAAAGCTTGCAGATGATGCTAACTTGAGAGAATTGTAAACTGTGACAAGGACAGAGTAGAACTCCAAAAGGATACTGACAAGTTGGTGGGTGGACAGGTTGGTAGCAGACAGGGTTCCACGCAGAGAAGTGTGAGGTGATGCACTTTGTTCAGAAGAATATTGAAAGACAGTATAAATTAGGGGCTACAATTCCAAAGAGGGTACAGGAGCAGAGCGACCTAGGTGTATATGTTCACAGATCATTGAAGGTGGCAGGACAAGTGAAGAAAACAGTTAATAATGCATACAGCATTCCCAGCTTTATTAATAGGAACATAGCGTACAAGAGTAGGGAGATGGTGTTGAACTTGTACTTGTTAGACCTCAGATGGTGTATTGTGTACAATTGTTGGCACCCCTTTAAAGGAAAGATTTGAATGGACTGGAGACAGTGAAGAAGCAATTTACAAGAATGGTTCCAGGAATGAGAATCTTCAGTTATGAGAATAGAGAAAAAGGCTGAGAGGAGATTTGATTGATGCTTTCAAAACCATGAGCAAGCTGGATACAGTAGATAGGGAGAAACTGTTCTCACTTGTAAAAGGAACAAGAATGAGAGGGCATTGATTTAAAATGATATGCAAACAAATCAAGGGTATTGCAAGAAAACACTTTGTCACAGTAAGTACTTAGGGAATGAAATGAATTGCCTGAAAAGATTATGGAGGCAGGTTCAATTGAGGCAACGAAGAAAACATTGGATGATTATTTAAATGGAAATGGTGGGCAGTGATATGGGTAAAAGGCAGGAGATTGACACAAATGGCCTCTTACTGCACCATAACAATTCTGTAATTCTCGTGATTATCATACAGAATCCAAATGGATCAAATCACTTGATTAATAATCCCAGAGGCCTAAGCTAACATTCTGGGTTGTTGGTTCAATCTCACCACAGCAGGTGGAGAAATTTGAATGCAATTAATAATTCTGTAATATAAAGACCATTTTAGTAATCTGTCACCAATTGTTGTAAAAATCCATCTTGTTCATCAATGTCCTTTAGAGAATGAAATCTGCCAAAAGTAACCTAGTTTGTCCAACATGTGACTCCAGACCTACAATAATGTGGTTGACTCTTAACTGCCCTCTGAAATGGCTATGAAAGACACTTAGCTCAAGGGCAGTATTGGGATGGCAACAAATGCTGGCCTTTCCAGCGACACCCAAATCTCTCAAGAAAGATTAAACAAAAAATACAGAATTAAGTCGATCAGATCCCTTCCAAATCACACTCATCAAACAAAATCCCAGTCAAACTGGGTTAAATCACTTTCCATTCACCCGTTTTGTGTAGAATTTCAATGGACCACCTGTTCCCCAGAAACACCTAGGTATTACACTGTTAGGAATTTCAAGACACAAGTTAATGCAGAGCAACTGATACCAAAAACACTAGGATCCAATAAAAATCAGTGGCTTCAAGGACATAGAAATGTTCCCAAAAGGGAGACAAACGTTAACCATAATGACTAATAATATGGGATTGTTTACATTAAGTTTATAATTAACTAGGATGTGGACTAGTATTGATTGTGATGACACATAATTCATTTAGGCCATTCTAATGGAATGTATTTCAGCCCTGTAGCTTTAAAACAGTTCCAGGTCATACTCACCTGCTACTTCAGCTTTTCCGATCTTCACCAGACTCTCATAAAGCTCCTTGATGGGATGCTTGCCCAAGGTGATAATCCCATGAAGCCAGATCAGCAGCATTCGGTAACCATGCTCCTTATAGCTGTTACTTCCTGCATACAAAATGAAAATCAACAGAGGAAGGCTCACCTCGGGACAATTCAGATCAATGTTAACACAAATTTGAAACTTGATTTTTTTTAACTCATTAAGCATCTTTACTCCTTCTCACCTTATGCTCAGGAATGCACATGCTAACATTGCAAAAGGTATTTTCACTCTGAATCTAATCTGTACTGTCTCTGCACTGGGAGTGTTTGATGAGGACAGTTAAGAGCAAGGTTTACTTTGTATCTAATCTAATGCTGTATCTGTCCAGGAGTGCTTGATGGGGACAATGTAGAAAGAGCTTTACACTGTATCTAACCCCCATGCTGTACCTGTTCAGGGAGTACTTCAAGCAGAAAGTGTAGGGAGAGCTTTGCTCTGTATCTAACCCCATGCCATACCTGGGAGAATTTGATGAGGGCATTGTAAGATCATAAATGTTTAAATCTTTTCAGTCTTTTACATGGTGAAACAGAAAAAAACAGCAAATAAGCAGCTAAGTTGGGAAATTAGCTGTCAACAAATGTGGCTTTGAACTTATCAACAGAGTAATGTTCAAGACAGTGATTACCTCAACAGCCACTGATACCCATCCTTGACACACACAGTTAGTCTCAGGCTACCTTAAACTAAAGCAGGTCAGCTCTCAGTCATTGTTAAAAGCGTTATTTTCTTTATCAGTTGTCCCAATGTTACTTCCAAATTTGACAGACATCCCCCACTTTTTACTTGTAATCTTCTGCTCTTTGTTTCATGTACCTGTCCACTGAGTCTCCACAGCTTTGATGTGTTTCTTGGAAAAATCCCAGTGCTCTGCTAACTTCTTCCAATCGCCTGGCTTGAGGTGCTTTGTGGCCAAGTTCCAAAGCACAGACCGGACATGACTCAGATTCGGCACATGGTTGAATGGGAGACCCAGTACAGAGTCACCCTGTCCTTCAGCTGCAACTTGTGAAGTATCCTAGGGAAAAGAGCAGAAGGATATTCCCATCACAGTCTGGCACAGTCAGATAGACGGTAGTTATTGGAACTGGTGAAAGGTTTATGTGGAGGTTAATGGGCATTGGGCAGCATACTAAGTTAGTATAGGGCTTATGTACACTCTAATTGACAAAAGCTGCTTGCTATGGTAAGTGTCGTAACAATGATGTGTACAATATCATGACTGGGTGCATGTCACAGTCGCTTAATCTCCTGAAAAAGCTCTATTCAAATTATTTCCTTTCTCACATCACATAAATCAACTGAAATATTGTATATAACCTCACATCCATTTATATTCATCAGTTCCCTTTCTCAGTTGATGGGTTTCTAGCCAAAAACAACTCATGAACCATCACATTTCAACCTGACCTGAAAACAGCAGCTGATTTAGGTCAGATTTTCTGCATTTACTCTAGGCTCCACTGTGAGGATTGGCCTAGATTTAGTCAGGGAAACACAGGAATCAACACACAGATTCTGATCTCCTGGAATGAGAAGCAAACACTGTTTACTGCAGCTCAATGGATAATAGTTTTGCATCAGTCAAAAGGCCATGACTTCAATCCCTATTCCTGAGACCTGAACACAAAACCAAAACTAGCATTCCAGAGTGATACCAAGCCAGAGGGACAAACCAGTAAAACCCATGAGTGACAAACTCATCTTGTATACTTCAATATGGAGGACCAGTATCAGCAGTACATTAATTTTCAAGTATTACTGTTTTTTTAAACTATATTTTCTTCCTGGAAAAGCAGCACTGCACTGTTCAAGGTGTTGTCTTTTGAGATAAAACAGAGATCCTGTCTGCTTTCTTGGTTGGCCTTAAACAATCTTATGCATTATTCAGAGTCAGGAAAATTTTACCCAGATCCTGGCCAATATTATCCATCAACCAAACAGTTACAAATGTATGATTTGGGAGCAGAAATAAACTATTCAGTCTCTCCAGTGTGCTGTGCCATTCAGTAAGATCATGGCTGATCTGGCTGTGTTCTGAATTCCACATTCCCAACTAACCCAGACAATCTTTGACTCCCTTACCAACAGGAATCTACCTACCTCTGACTTAGAAATATTCATGATCCTGCCTCCCCAACTTCTAATGCAGAGAGTTCTAAAGTTGTACCATTCTTTGAGAAAAACGAATTCCTGTCATTTCTGTCCTAAAAGGCAGACCTTTAATTTTAAGTGTCCCCTAGTTCTGGTCTCACTCACAAGTGGAAACATCTTCTCCAAGTTCACCTTGTCAAGATCATTGAGGATCTTACCAACTTCAAAACAAATTACCTTTCACTCTTCTGAATTCTCAAGAAAACAAGCCCAGGCTGTCCATTCTTTCCTTATGAGATAACCATTCATTTCAGGCATCACACCACAAAACTACACCATTTAGGCAAAGGCAGATCAGGGAGGTAAATGCATGAGGGGTGGTGTAGAAGGGAAGGGCTGAGATTTTTGGGACACTGTGACCATATTTGGGAAAGGAGAAAGTTCTTCAGAAGAGATGAGCAGATCTGAGCAGAAAAGGAACTAGTCTCCTGGCTGACAGTGTAAATAATGCAGTGAGGGTGGATTTAAACTTTTAAGCCAGGGAGGGTGGGTTGTCAAATAAGCATAATTTTGCAAGTACCAGAGAGGGAAAAAAGGGAGAAGATGGTGAATGGGGGAAAAGGAACTGAAGGAAGACTTCAGTGCTGACAGTGAACAAAGAAATGATCACCTTCCAATGGGCAAGAAAGAGATGAGCTGCGTTAAAATGCATGTATGTGAATGCACAGAGTAGAGTGAACAAAACTGGGAAACTAGAAGCAGAAATTGTTCTAGGGCGATATGACATTGTAGCATTGATGGAAACGTGGCTCAAGCCAGTATAGAACTAGATACTTAACAAGGTGTAGAGCTGGATGAACACAGCAGGCCAAGCAGCATCAGAGGAGCAGGAAGGCTGACGTTTCGGGCCTGGACCCTTCTTCAGAAATGGGGGAGGGGAAGGGGAATCTGAAATAAATAGGGAGAGAGGGGGAGGCGGATAGAAGATGGATAGAGGAGAAGATAGGTGGAGAGGAGACAGACCGGTCAAAGAGGCGGAGATGGAGCCAGTAAAGGTGAGTGTAGGTGGGCAGGTAGGGAGGAGGTAGGTCAGTCCAGGGAGGACGGACAGGTCAAGGGGGTGGGATGAGGTTAGTAGGTAGGAGATGGGGGTGGGGCTTGAGGTGGGAGGAGGGGATAGGTGGGAGGAAGGACAGGTTAGGGAGGCAGGGACGAGCTGGGCTGGTTTTGGGATACGGTATGGGGAGGGGAGATTTTGAAGCTTCTGAATTAGAATCTATATGGTTAGAGGTGAGAAACAGGAACAGAGCAATGATCTTATTGGTTATTTAGAGACATAGAGTCATACAGCACCTAAACAGACCCTCCAACCCAACTTGTTCATGCCAACAAGGTTTTCTAAACTGAACTACTCCCATTTGCCTCTGTTTAGTCCATATCCCTTTGAATATCTCCTATCCATACACCTGTCCAAATGTCTTTTAAACGTTATAGACCTCCAAATAGAGGAGGATGCAGAAGAAAGAATTTGTAGACATTATGGAAATTTGCAGGACAAGTAAGATTGGGATAGTTGGTGATTTCAATTACCCTAGGGTAGGCTGGGAAAAAGATAAAATGTGGGGCATGGAAGAGGAAAAATTCCTGTAATGTGTGCAGAACTTTCTGGAACAATAGATTTCCAGTCCTACCAGGAAGAGGCTGTGTTGCATCTGATCCAAGGAAATAAGGCAGGCCAAGTGGAGAACATCAGAATGGGGAACATTTGGAATATAGTGATCATAACATAATAAAGTTCAATATTAAATTGGAAAAGGATAAAAAGTGGTCAATGATTTAGATCCCAGATTAGAAAAATGCATTTTGGTGGATAAAACAGTGGATGAAAAATGGGAGAATTTCAAAAGAGAGATGAAGAGGGTGCAAGCTAGGTACATACCCGTGAAAAATAAACATGGGGTATCCAAAGCTATAGTACCCTGGATGACTAAGGATATTGATGAGAAAGTAAGGAAAAAAGATGAGGCAACTGATGCAGGCTGGAATAATAATAGTAATAGAAATCAGGAAGAATGTCTCAAATGCAGGAAAGAAGCCAAGGCTAGAATGAAGGAGGCTAAGACGAAGTATGAGAAAAGGATGGCAGGCTGTGCTAAAATAAATAGTAAAATATTCTTTAAACATATTAATAATAAAAGATTAGCGAAGGATAAAGTGGGGCCCTTAAGGAACAAGCAGAGTAAGCTGCTCACTGAAGCAAAGGATATGGTAGAAGTACTAAGTGGATATTTTGCTTGTCTTTACCAAATTAGATAATGGTGACAATGGCCCAGTTGAAAACGTGGGTTTTGAGCAATCGAGCAGTATAGTGATAGATAAAGAAGAGGTGCTAAAAAGGCTGGCAGCACTCCAGGATGGGGTGCATCCTAGATTGCCAAGAGGGGTAAGAGAGCAAATTATGGAGCTGTTGACAGAAATTCTCCAGGCTTTCCTGAACACAGGATTAGTCCCAGTGGCTGGAGCATTGCAAATGTGGCCCTGTTGTTTAAGAAGGGGACAAAGGATAACCTGGGGAAGTACAGCCTAACATCAATAGGGGGAAAACTGATGGAGGCCATAATATGGGATAAGGCAAATATCCTCTTAGAGGAAATTAATACTAGACAGTCAACTTGGCTTTGCCAAGGGCGGGTCACGTCTGACAAATTTGATTGAGTTTTTTAAAGAGGTAACACAGGCAGTGAATGAGAGTACTACAGTGGAAATTATATATTTGGGCTTTCAGAAAGCTTTTGATAGGGTGTCACATGGCAAGTTGGTTAGCAAATTAGAAATGTTTGGGATTATTGGGTCCTTGGCAGAATGGATTCGAAGTTGGCTAAAAGGTAGGAAACAGAGAGTAAGTATAGATGGGCATTTCTCAGATTGGAGAGGAGTTTAAAGTGGTGTTCCTCAGGGATTGGAGTTGGGATCTTTTTACTGATTTAGAGGAATGATTTAGAGATGGGTGTTGAGGGCAAAATCTCTAAAATTTTTAAAAATTAATTCATGGGATGTGGGTGTCGCTGCCTAGACCAGCATTTATTGTCCATTCCTAATTGCCCAGAGGGCAGTTAAGGGTCAACCACATTGCTCTGGGTCTGGAGTCACATGTAGGCCAGACCAGGTAAGGATGGCAGTATCCTTCCCTAAAGGACATTAGTGAATCAGATGGGTTTTCCTGACAATCGGCAATGATTTCATGATCATCATTAGACTCTTAATACCAGATTATTATCTGCCATGATGGGATTCGAACCAAGGTCCCCAGAACATTACCTGGGTCTCTGTATTTATAGTCTAGCGATAACACCACTAGGCCATCACCGACCCAAAAAAGTGCAGATGATACTAAGCTGGGGAGAATAGTGAATCGTGAGGATGATGCTGAGCAACTTCAGAGCGACATTGACAAGTTGGCCAAATGGGCAGACACCTGGCAGATGAATTTCATGCAGAGAAATGCAACGTATTCTATTTTGATAGATAAACACAGACAGTCAATACAGGCTCAATGGTACAACTTTGAGGGGAGTACAGAAGCAGAGGGACCTCAGGGATCACATGCATGATTCTTCGAAGGTGGCCAGGCAAGTTGAAATACTTGTTAAGAAGGCTTATATGATCCTTGGATTTATAAATATGGCATAGAGTCTAAAAGCCAGGAAGTGATGCTACACCTCTACAAATCATTGGTCAGACCACATTTGGAGTATTGTATTCAGTTCTGGCCACCTTATTTAAGGAAGGATGTTAAAGTCCTGAAGAGAGTTCAAAGGTGACTTACTAGAATGATACCAGGAATAAGAGAATAAGAGAATACCAGAATTTAGATACAACAAAAGATTAGAGAGATTGGGCTTATTCTCCTTGGAGCAGAGGAGATTAAGAAGTGACTTTATTGAGACATTCAAGATTATGAACAAGTTTAACAGGGTAAAGAAGGATATTCTGTTTTCACTAATTGGTATGTCAGTATTTAGGGATCACAATTTCAAAATTGTCAGCAAGGCTGCTAGAAGTGAGACGAGGAGAAACTTCTTTACTCATAAAGTTGTTAGGATTTGGAATGCGCTGCCTGGGAGAGTGGTGGAGGCAGATTCCACAGGAGGTTTCAAAACAGAGCTGGATATATGTTTGAAAGGGATGAATTTAGAGGGCTACAGAGATAGGCTGGAGGGTGGGATCAGCTGGATAACTCTTTCAGGAGCCATTACAAACACAATGGGTCAAATTGCTTTCTTCTTACTGTAAAATTCTACAATTCTTTCAATCTAGTAAACAAGCAAGCAATAAATGCTGGTCCAGTCATTCAGCCAACATCCTATGAATGGATTAAAGAAAACTTTCTCTGAACATTCTCCAATGCATTTACATCCTTCTGTAAATAAGGAGACCAAAAACTGCATTCAAGATGTGGTCTCACAAATGCCCCGCATAACTTAAGCATAACCTCTTTACTTTTATGTTCAATTCCTCTCATAATAAAGAAGTGCATTCCATTAGGCTTCTTAATTGCTTGCTGCACCTGAATACTAAATTTTTTCCACTCATATACCAGAACACTGCACTTCACAATTCTGCAGTTGCTCCCCATTTAAATAACATTCTGCTTTTTTAAATGTTCTGCCAAAGTGAACAACTTCACATTTTCCCACATTATACTCCTTCTGCCGGATTTTTGCCCATTCCCTTTATCTATGTTGGTCTACATCCTTATTACATTACCTTCACAACAAACTTTCCTACCTGTCTTTGTGTCATCTGAAAATTTAGCTACCATACCTTCGATCCCCTCATGGAAGTCATTGATACAAATTGTAAAAAGTTGAGTGCCCATCACAGATCCCTGCAGGACTCACCGACTTCTGTAATCCAGTGCAGAACCATGCTTCTCTGATTTTTGATTTCTTTCTCCACCCATGACACTTTTGTCTCTTTGAGTGTGCGTTTATGTGAGAATTTGAAAAGTGTGAGTTATGAAGTTATAAATTAGCAATTCAAGTTTTTTCTTTGCAATCGGTTGAAAACAGTTTAATTATGATAAACAGATATTTTCTTGTTAATGAAACAAAATAACTGGTGTTATTTTCTTTTAATCTGCATTAGACTGTCAGGTAGAATTGGGCAATTTGGTGATTTAACCCAGTTTTCACATTTTGACATGACTCTGGGAATTGACTTCCAGTACACTACCCCAGTGAGTCCTGAATCCTGACACTAGATACTGCTATATTAAAATTTATTTTATTGTCCAGAGATCATAAGTTATATAATGTAAGTCCTTTCTCTTCCTTTCTAAACCATCGCCCAGATCAACACTAACTTCTTTTTGTGTATTATTCCATAACCCAGAGTGTCTGATCCACACCCTTCCTCTCCTCAGTTGGTGTGTCACAGTACAGAGGTCACAGCACACTGCGCCTCAAATCACCTTACCAGATTCCTTGCATTGAACCTCTCCATTTTTATAATCATGTCGATCAGCACAGCATGTTGGCTGCGCACAGCGAGATCCAGCGCTGTTTTCCCCTGCTATGGATGAATTCAGAAGTCATTTCATGTCACTGTGGCATTTGGTTCTCCATTTTTCGTTAGCTCAGTGGTTAAATGGTGCTGAGTTACAAGGATTAGCAGGTCATAAGTTCCACCCACCCACCTCATCTGTGCTGAGTTAAATGATTGCAGTTGGAAAGTTACAGATGGCAATATCTACAGAAGTGACAAAAAAAATGGCAACAAACATAAGAGAGCAATGTTCCCGAAACAGCAAGAAACGTGAAAGAATAGGACCCTAAGCCACTAATTGGATAGTTCCAATGGTAGGAAGCCTGTAAGGAGTAAACGGCAGGTACCCATGACTAACCTTGGCTAGCAACTTGGATTTTTATAGCAATTCCCATTAAATTTATCAATATTGTATCGAATTTCATTTTATGATTGACCTCAAACATATTCATCTGTCTGAGAATGGCAAACTCATTTTGCACAATTTATCACTGTTCTGTTGGCTGTAGTTAAGGTCATTCAGGCTACAGTGCCAAGCAACCAGTAAGGAACACCACTAGAATTATATCGGTGGGTCATTGAGACACCCCCTAGAACAGAGAAAGTAAGTAAATGTACTGCAGGTTCTTTACAATGAGGAAATAAGATGTAAAATAATGTTGCATGTCACCAAGGCTGATGACTGGGACCACTAGCAAATAAAGTCAAGGTGTGGATTTACAGATCATTGTGTGGGAACTCATTCACTATGGATAATTGTTTTTAAACAAAGTTCAAGCCCACATTTTTAATGAGGGCTTAATTTCAGTTCAGCACACTCATTTTCGAGGTATGTTCAGTGTTGAACATAGAACAGTACAGCACAGTACAGGCCCTTCGGCCCACGATGTTGTGCCAACCTATTATCCAACTAAAATCAATCTACCCTGCATACCCTACATTTTACTATCCTCCATGTGCCTATCCAAGAGTTGTTTAAAAGTCTCTAAAGTATCTGACTCCACCACCAATGCCGACAGCGCATTCCACACGCCCACCACTCTCTGTGTAAAGAACCTACCTCTGACATCTCCCCTATACCTTCCTCCAATCACCTTAAAATTATGCCCCCTCATAATAGTCATTTCCTCCCTGGGAAAAAGTCTCTGGGTATCTACTCTATCTATTCCTCTCATCATCTTGTACACCTCTATCAAGTCACCTCTCATCCTTCTTCGCTCCAATGAAAAAAAGCCCTAGCTCCCTCAACCTTTCCTCATAAGATCTGCCCTCCAGTCCAGGCAGCATCCTGGTAAATCTCCTCTGCACCCTCTCTAAAGCTTCCACATCCTTCCTGTAATGAGGTGACCAGAACCGAACACAATATTCCAAGTGTTGTCTAAACAGAGTTTTATAGAGCTGTAGCATAACCTCACGGCTCTTAAACTCAATTCCCCTGCCAATGAAAGCCAACACACCATACGTGTTCTTTACAACCCTATCAACTTGGGTCGCAACTTTGAGGGATCTATGGATGTGGACCCCAAGATCCCTCTGTTCTTCCACACTGCTGAGAATCCTGCCATTAACCCTGTATTCTGCATTCAAATTCGACCTTCCAAAATGAATCACTTTTCCGGGTTGAATTCCATCTGCCACTTCTTTGCTCAGTTCTGCATCCTGTCAATGTCCCATTGCAACCTACAACAGCCCTCCACACTGTCCACAACTCCACCAACCTTCGTGTCATCGGCAAACTTACTAACCCACCCTTCCACTTCCTCATCCAAGTCATTTATAAAGATCACAAAGACTAGAGGTCCCAGAACAGATCCCTGTGGCACACCATTGGTCACCAAGCTCCAGGCTGAATACTTTCCGTCTACTACCACCCTCTGTCTTCTATTGGACAGCCAGTTTTGTTTCCAGACAGCCAAATTTCCCTGAATCTCATGCCTCCTTACTTTCTGAATGACCCTACCATATGGAACCTTATCGAATGCTTTGCTAAAATCCATATATACCACATCCACTGCTCTACCTTCATCGATGTGTTTTGTTGAAGCTGATTTCCTAAAATTCTAGGCGCATTAATTACTGTTTTTAAGTTGTTGCATTGTTTTGGAACTTTGGGGACAATAAAGATCAAAACAACGGCACTTTAAAAAAGGAGGAACACAGACACGCGAAGTGGTTCAAATGGAGAAAGAAACCTATACTGCTGTCTGACCCAGCAATAACCTGCACAACTGCTGCCTTTGCTGTTTGGCTTCAAGTATCTCTGGATATTGGACTTTGTTCTAAGGAAAATAAACAAACAGCGAAATTCACAGCTGATCTTGGAGAAACCTGTGTGGGGAGGCTCACAGCAGAGGAGCAACTAAGTGGCTAGTTTTAAAGTGTAACCTTACAGTTTTTTTTTGTAAATCTACAATAGTGAGTAGAGTGGGTTATTTTCTTTAATTATATGTTCTTATTGAGATCTGTTTCTTGATTAAACTTTAAAAATATAAAAACATAGGTACTAAACTAGCCTGGAGTAGTGTTTTTAGAGCAGTAAGATTGCACTATTTTCTGGGTCTGTAGATTGTTAAGGTGTAAAGAGCGATGTGCTCTTCCTGTTGGATGTGGGAAATTAGGGAGAGTTTCCATGTTACTGATGAATTATCATAGATCATCATAGAATCCCTACAGTGTGGAAACAGGCTCTTCGGCCCAACAAGTCCACACCAAACCTCAGAGCATCCTACCCAGATCCATCCCCCAATGATCCCTGAACACTATGGACAATTTCGCATGGCTAATCCACCTAGCCTGCACATCTTTGTACTGTGGGAGGAAACCTGAGCACCTGGAGGAAACCCACGCAGACATGGGGAAAATGTGCAAACTCCACACCACCAGTCGCCCAAGGGTGAAATCAAACCCGGGTCCGTGGTGCTGTGAGGCAGCAGTACTAACCACTGAGCTCCCGTGCTGCATGTCTGCAGGGCGTGTGTTTGGTTGTGAATCCCATCAGATTGCATGGATCGGTTGGAGCAGCAGTTAGAGGCAATGAGGAGTTTACAGGAGCAAGGGGGTTTGATGATGGCAGTTGCAGTGAGGGAGATAAACTGAAGATACAGTTAGGTAGATGGGTGACGTCCAGGAAAGGTAGGAGAGGGAGGCAGGTAGTGCAGCAATCTTCTGTGGCTATCCCCATCTCAAACAAGCATGTTGTTTTGGAAAATGTAGGGGGTGATGGACTCTCAGGGGAATGTACCATCGACAGCTTAAGTTTCTGGTACCGAGACTGGCTCTAATGTAACGAGGGGTACATCAGGTTCCAAGCCATCAATTGTGAAAGAGGACTGTCTCGTCAGAGGTACAGACAAACATTTCTGTGGCTGACAGCACGACATCAGAATGGTGTGTGGCCTCCCTGGTGCCTGGATCAAGATTGTCTTGGAGACGGTGCAGAATATTCTCAAAGGGGAGAGGGACCAGCAGGAGACCTTTATATGCATTGGAACAAACAACACAGGAAGAGAAAGGGATGAGATTCTGAGGAGAGAATATAGGAAGTTAAGCAGGCATTTAAAATGTAGGGTAGTAATATCTGGATTACTCCCGGTGCCAGGAGCTAGTGAGGGCAGGAATAGGAGGACAGAGAGGACAAATGCGTGGCTGAGGAGCTGGTGCAGAGAAGGATTCACATTTTTGGATCATTGGAACTTCTTCTGAGTTAGAAGTGACCTGTATAAGAAGGACGGATTGCACCTGAATTGGAAGGAGACTAATATGCTGGTGGAGAGATTTGCTAGAGCTGCTCAGGAGGATTTAAACTAGTAAGGGGGGATACCTGGGAGATTGTGAGGAAAGATCAGTCTGAGACTGGTGCAGTTGGGAAAAGGAGTAAGTCAAACAGTCAGGGCAGGCAGGAACAAAGCAGAGAACGAGGTAGGACTGACTGATAAATTAAACTGCATTTATTTCAATGCAAGAGGCCTAACAGGTAAGGCAGATGAACTCAGGACATGGTTGGGAACAAGGGACTGGGATATCAAAGCAATAACAGAGATGTGGCTTAGAGATGGACAGGACTGGCAGCTTAATGTTCCAGGGTATAGATGCTGTAGGAAGGATAGAAAGGGGTGGGGGGATGGGATGTTGGCGGAAACAACAGAGGAGAGAGGGTGGCATTTTTGATTAGGGATAACATTTTGGCTGTACATAGTGGGGATATTCCCGGGGATACGTCCAGGGAAGTTATTTGGATGGAATTGACAAATAAGAAAGGGGGTAGTCAGAGTAGAAATGACAGAATATATCGGATGAATACGTGGCTGAAAAGGGAAGGGTTTCAGATTCCTGGGGTATTGGGACCAGTTCTGGGGGAGGTTGGACCTGTACAAATTGGATGGGTTACACCTGGGCAGGACTGGGACTGATGTCCTAAGGGGAGTATTTGCTAGAGCAGCTGGGGAGGGTTTAAACTAATATGCCAGGGGGTTGGGAACCTATGTAAAGTGTGGTACAGGTGGGAAAAGGAGTAAGTCAAACAGTCAGGGCAGGCAGGAACAAAGCAGAGAACGAGGTAGGACTGACTGATAAATTAAACTGCATTTATTTCAATGCAAGAGGCCTAACAGGTAAGGCAGATGAACTCAGGACATGGTTGGGAACAAGGGACTGGGATATCAAAGCAATTACAGAGATGTGGCTTAGGGATGGACAGGACTGGCAGCTTAATGTTCCAAGGTATAGTTGCTATAGGAAGGATAGAAAGGGGGCAAGAGAGGAGGGTAAATAGCATTTTTGATTAGGGATAACATTACAGCCATACATATGGAAGATATTCCTGCGAATACAACAACTAGGGATAAATCCCTAGGGCCTGATAATCTACATCCCAGAGTACTTAAGTAAGTGGCTCTAGAAATTGTGGATACATTGGTGGTCATCTTCCAGGATTCTATAGAGTCTGGAACAGTCCCTGCAGAGTGGAGAGTGGCTAATGTCACTCCAATATTCAGAAAGAGAGGTAGAAAGAAAACAGGGAAATGTAGACTAGTCAGCCTAATATCGGTAATGGGGAAAATTTTTGAATCCATTATCAAGGAGCATTTAGAAAGCAGTGGCAGGATCAGACAGTCAGTATGGATTTATGAAGGGAAAATCATGCTTGACAAATCTGTTGGAATTCTGTGAAGATGTAACTAGTAGAGTTGAAAAAGGGTAACCAATTGATGTGGTATATTTGGACTTTCAGAAAGCGTTTGACAAAGTCCCGCGTAGGAGATTATTGTGCAAGATTAAAGTGCATGGGATTGGGGGAAGTGTATTGAGATGGATAAGAAACTGGTTGGCAGAGAGGAAACAAAGAAAAGGAATTAATGGGCCCTTTTCAAATTGGCAGGCAGTAATAGTGGGGTACCACAGGGATTGGTGCTGGGACCCCAGCTATTCACCATATATATTAATGATTTGGATGAGGCAACAAAATGTAACATCTCCAAGTTTGCAGATGATACCAAGTTGGGTGGGAGGGTGAGCTGTGATGAGGATGTAGAGATCCTCAGCATGATCTGGACAGGTTGGGTGAGTGGGCAAATCAATGGTAGATGCAGCATAAATTGAATCAGTGTGAGATTACTCACTTTGCCAAGTAGGGTTAAGGAGAATCCAGAGGGATTCTACAAATACATCAAGGACAAAAGGGTAACTAGTAAGAGCACTGGGCCCCTTAAAGATCAGCAAGGCCACCATCGTGTGGAAGCACAGCAGTGGGGGGAGATACTAAATGAGTAGTTTCCATCAGTGTTTACTGTGGAGAAGGATACGGAAGATAGAGAACATGGGGAAATAAATAGCAACATCTTGGAAAATGTCCATATTACAGAGGAGGTGCTAGACGTTATAAAATGCATAAAGGTGGATAAATCCCCGGGACCTGATCAGGTGTACCCTAGAACTCTGTGGGTAAGCTAGGGAAGTGATTGCTGGGCCCCTTGCTGAGATATTTGTATCATCAATAGCCACTCGTGAGGTGCCGGAACACTGAAGGTTGGCTAATGTGGTGCCACTGTTTAAGAAAGGTGGTAAGGAAAAGCCAGTGAGCCTGACATCGGTGGTGAGCAAGTTCTCGGAGGGAATCCTGAGGACGGGATTTTTATGTATTTGGAAAGACAAAGACTGATTAGAGATAGTCAACATGGCTCTGTGCATGGGCAATCATGTCTCACTAACTTAATTGAGTTTCTTGAAGAAGTAGCAAAGAGGATTGATGAGGGCAGAGCAGTGGCCATGATATATATGGACTTCAGTAAGGCATTTGACAAGGTTCCTCATGGTAGACTGGTTAGCAAGGTTAGATCACATGGAATACAGGGAGAACTGTCTACTTGGATACAGAACTGGCTCAAAGGTAGAAGACAGAGGGTGGTGGTGGAGGGTTGCTTTTCAGACTGCAGGCCTGTGACCAACAGGTGCCACAAGGATCGGTGCTGGGTCCACTGCTTTTTGTCATTTATATAAACAATTTAAATGTAAACATAAGAGGTATGGCTAGTAAGTTTGCAGATGACACTAAAATTGGACGTGTAGTGGATAGGGAAGGTTACCTCAGAGTAAAATGGGACCTTGATCAGATGGGTCAATGGGCTGAGGAGTGGCAGATGGAGTTTAATTTAGATAAATGTGAGGTGCTGCATTTTGGAAAGACAAATCAGGGCATGACTTATACACATAAAGGTAAGGTCCTGGGGAGTGTTGCTGAACAAAGAGACCTTGGAGTACAGGTTCATAGTTCCTTGAAAATGGCGTCACAGATAGATAGGATAGTGAAGAAGGCATTTGGTATGCTTGCCTTTATTGGACAGTGCATTGAGTTGAGGAGTTGGGAGGTCATGTTGTAGCTGTACAGGACATTAGTTAGGCCATTTTTGGAATACTGCATTCAATTCTGGTCTCCCTGCTATAGAAAAGATGTTATGAAGTTTGAAAGGGTACAGGATAGATTTACAAGGATGTTACCAGATTTGGAGGGTTTGAGTTGTAAGGAGAGGCTGAATAGGCTGGGCTATTTTCCCTAGAGAATCGGAGGCTGAGAGGTGACCTTATAGGGGTTTATAAAATCATGAGGGGCATGGATAGGGTAAACCGACAAAGTCTTTTCCTGGGGTGGGGGAGTCCACAACTAGAGTGCATAGGTTTAAAGTGAGAGGGGAAAGATTTAAAACGGACTCAAGGAGCAATTTTTTCACAGAGAGGGTGGTGTTTGTATGGAATAAGCTGCCAGAGGAAGTGATGGAGGTTGGTACAATTACAACATTTAAAAGGCATCAGGATGAGTATATGAATAGGAAGGGTTTAGAGGGATATGGGCCAAATGCTGGCAAATGGGACAAGATTAATTTAGGATATCTGGTCGGCATGGACGAGTTGGACCGAAGGTTCTGTTTCTATCCTGTGTCTCTCAATGACTCTATGTCTCTATGGCTGAACTTAGAGTCATAGAGATGTACAGCATGGAAACCCTTCGGTCCAACTCGACCATGCTGACCAGATATCCTAAATAAATCTAGTCCCATTTGCCAGTATTTGGCCCATATCCTAGTAGGAGAGACTAGGATTTAAGGGCACAGCCACAGACGACCCTTTAGAACTGAGGAGGAATTTTTTTCAACCGGGGGTGGTTAATCTGTGAAACTCAATGCTGCAGAGGGCTATGGAGCCCAAGTGATTGAGTGTATTTAAGATAGAGATAGAGAGGTTTTTGATCAGCAAGTGGATCAAGGGTTACGGCAGACTGGGTGGGTGGTGGCACAGGAATGGGGTTGAGAAATATATCAGCCATGATCAAATGGTGGAGGAGACTTGATGGGCCGAATGACTTAATTCTGCTCCTCTATCTTATGGAGGCTCAGTTTGCATGTCCAAAGATCCCTGAAGGCAGCAGAACAGGTACATAAGGTGGTTCAGAAAGCATACAAGATACTTGCTCTTATTAGTCAAGATACTGGTGACAAGAGCAAGGAGGTGTACAAAGGTATGAGGGACACAGATCAAATGGATAGGGAGAAACCCTTTCCCTTACTAGAGGGGTCAATAACCAAGGGGCACATTTCTGTCTTTGTAAGTATTAAGAGTCATACTAGGCTTGAATTGTTAACTCATTTTCTCTGTCCACAGATGCTGCCAGACCTGCTGAGTTGCTCCAGCATCCCTATGTTTGAGACAGTTTTAACATAAGGTATAGGAGGTTTAAAGGGGATTGGGGGAAAGAAGTCAGATACCAGACGGTGGTGGGAGTCTGGAATTCACTGCCCATAAAGGGTGGTAGAGGCAGGAACCCTCAAGACATTTAAGTAGTATTCAGATGAGCGTTTGATCCGACACAGCATACAAGGTTATGGGCCAAGTGCAGCAAAATGGGTTGACAATAGATTCATGATTGATGACCTGTGTGGGCACAATAGGCTGAAGTGCCTCTTTCCATGCTGTAAAAACTCTGAAGCTTATCCTAGTGTTTGCAGCACTCACACATCGTACAATCTGACAGAATGTTAAAGTTGGTAGGTGTATTGTGCCAATCGCTGTTAAATTTTGGAGTGTATTGCTCCTTCTCACCTTATCCTGAAGCTGTAAATTGATGTTAGCTTTGAGAAGCATCTCCACAATTGCGAACTGTCCCCTCTCCACTGCCAGATGTAAAGCACTCTGCTGCTTCTGCAGATGGAGAGAAAAACAGCACCTGTGACATAGACAATATCCAAAGCAATGGCTCCTCTAAGCTGCATGCAATGCTCATGCACAGCACATCCATCAGGTACCATGTAGGCCCACTATCAAGTTACCCTGTTTAAGGGACTGCACAGGTGCAAAGTGTTAAATATGCTGGCCATCGAATCAATAGGCTGTATACACAAAAGAAATCCTCATGTTAGACTGGTTAGCAAGGTTAGATCACACGGAATACAGGGAGAATTAGCTATTTGGATACAGTACTGGCTCGAAGGTAGAATGCAGAGGATGGTGGTTGAGGGTTGCTTTTCAGACTAGAGACCTGTTACCGGTGGTGTGCCACAAGGATCGGTACTGAGTCCACTACTTTTCGTCATTTATATAAATGATTTGGACGTGAACATAGGAGGTATATTATTAAGTTAATTGGAGGTGTAGTGGACAGCAAAGAAGATTACCTCAGAGTACAATGGGATCTGGATCAGTGTGGGCCATTGGGCCAAGGAATGGAAGATGGGAGTTTAATTTAGATAAATGTGAGGTGCTACATTTGGAAAGGCAAATCAGGGCAGGACTTATACACTAATGGTAAGATCCTGGGGAGTGTTAATGAACAAAGAGACCTTGGAGTACAGGTTCATAATTCCTTGAAAATGCAGTCGCAGGTAGACAGGATAGTGAAGAAGGTATTTGGTATGCTTGCCTTTACTGGTCAATGCTTTGAGTATACGAGTTGGGAGGTCATGTTGCGGCTGTACAGGTTAGGCCACTTTTGGAATACTGCGTGCAATTCTGGTCTCCCTGTTACAGGAGCGATGTTGTGAAACTTGAAAGAGTTCAGAAAAGATTTACAAGGATGTTGCCAGAGTTGCAGAGTTCGAGCTATAGGGAGAGGCTGATTAGGCTGGGGCTATTTTCCCTGGAGCAGAGGCTGAGGGGTGACCTTATAGGGATCTATAAAATCATGAGGAGCATGGATAGGGTGAACAGTCAAGGTCTTTTCCCCAGTATGGGGGAGTCCAAAACTAGAGGGCATTGGTTTCAGGTGAGAGAAGAAAGATTTAAAAGGAACCTAAGGGCAACTTTTTCACACAAGAGGGTGGTGTATGTATGGATTAAGCCGTCAGAGGAAGTGGGGAGGCTGGTACAATAACAACATTTAAAAGGCATCTGGATGGATATATGAATAGTAAGGGTTTAAAGGGATATGAGCCAAATGCTGGCACATGGGACTAGATTATTTTTGGATATCTGGTCGGCGTAGATGAGTTGGACTGAAGGGTCTGTTTCCTTGCTGTACAACTCTATGAATAGAGGGAAAATTAGTCCCAATATTCCTCAAAGGGGAAAGCTGGGGAGTAAAGGAAGAGGACTGAAGCACATTTATTATCGGTACATACATTGCAGGAATGTCCATTGTAGGCACCCACACATATTCAGGACAAGGATTACAGTGACATTCACTGGAGGGAGACTAATTGCAAGCAGGTATAATATGGTTTTATGCATAATAAATGTGCATTGCAAACATTTCCTTATTACAGACAATGACATAAACACACAATACAATGGACTTTCCTATCTGAACTCTGAATTCAAACAGTGTCAATCAATCTTTTTATGACATAGTAGTTTCTTTGCTAGCATCATACTGTACACTTTTTACAGATAGCATTGAAAACTTTTTGAATAATCATTACAGTTTTGAAACTACTTGAACATTAAAATCAAACTGTTCTGGGTTGATGGATTAATAAACGTCAGATTAATAAAAGTCAGTTCTTTCACCATTTCTTCTGAAAGAGTACCCACATTCTCCTTGTAATACTTCCACTCTTCTCATGAACAATGAACTGCAAGATGTATGGATACAGAATAGTGGTAATGCCACTGGAATAGGCTAATGATCTGCGGTTCGAATGGCAGATGATCAAAGTTGAATTCAGTAAAAATCTGGTATAAAAAAACTAGCCTAATGGCAAGCACATAACCACCATCAATTGTTGTAAAAGCCCATCTTTTCACTAACGTCCTTCAGGGAAAGTCTGATCTACACGACAACAGACCACAGAAATACGGCTCATTCTTAACTGTCTGCTGGGCAATAAATGCTGGCCCGGACATCCTACAAACACATAAGATAAGAACATGTAGTATGCCAAGTGTAACACAGAACATACATAACACATTATGTACATGACAACATCATGAATTTTCAGCATCAATTTAACAAAGAACCATGGTGAGTTCTGAGTTAGGTACTGATTGTTCTATTAGATTCTTTCAGTGATTAATTAACAAGATAATAGCCTTCATCTGATACAGCACTGATACATACTTCATATCTCCATTTGATATTCTCCCTGTCGTTAAGTCCTCATGAAGGAAATAAAAACTTCAATGCAACAATACAAATCTACCCCAACATTCCCTTCAAATAAAATAATCAATGTCTATCCTGAAACTTAAGAACCAACTGGATTTGAAGCACAGAGGATAAGTCTTTGAAAAATGATCTGAACTTTAACTACAACCTGTTGAATGATAGCTTTGTTCAGGATAATTGTCCAAAAAAAATCATAATTACTGAAATGTCAGGGCAATCTTGACCCAGGAACTAGATGCCAGAAAACAGTGCCTTTAACCAGTTATTGCCAACTGATACAAACACACCAATGAACATTACAAAAGAACATGACTGCAAAACAAATTGGTGGAGCAAACAGGGCCTAGAAACTGTATGATTACATTGTTAAAACAAATCATACAAACATAGGAACAAGGATTATGAAAAGGCCATTTGGTCCTTCGAGCCTAATCTGCCATTTATTAAGATCATGGCTGGTCAGACTGTTACCTCCAATCCATACTCAAGCCTACCCAATAACCTTTTTGTTTAATTCATTTGGGAGGTCACAGCGAGTATTTATGCCCATCCCTAGTTGCCCTTGAGAAGGTGGTTGAGCACTTCTTGAACCGCTGTAGTCCACCTGTTGTGGGTTGAGCCACAATGCTATTAGAGAGGGATTTTGACCCAGCAACAATGAAGGAATGGTGATATATTTCCAAGTCAGGATGCTGAGTGGCTTGGTGGAAAACTTGCAGGTGGTGATGTTCCCACGTATCTGCTACCCTTGTCCTTCTGGATGGAAGTGGTTTGGGTTTTGAAGATCCTTGTCTAAGGATCTTTAATAGAATTTCTACAGTGCATCTTGTGGATGGTACACCCTGATGCTATTAGTATCAGAGGTGGAGGGAGTGGAGGCTTGTGGATGTAGTGCCAATGAAGAAGGCTGCTTTGTCCTGGATTGTGTCAAGTTTCTTGAGTGTTATTGGAGCTGTACGCATCCAAGCAAGTGGGGAATATACCATCATACTCCTGACTTGTGCCTTATAGATGGTGAACAGGGAGTCAGGAGGTGATTTTTTTTATTGTGAGCCTAATTGCCCTCTCATCCACCTTCTTCCCCATTTTATGACATTCATTGAAACAGAAGAAATACGCAAAGCTGGATTTTTTTAAAAAATTAACTCAGTTATTAACCATTTCACTCCAGTTGGGTTTTAATTTATGAATTGAAGGTGCACAATACCTAATGTTCATAAAAACCTACATGGTCACTGATGTTGATGTCACATCCAGCAGCTATCAGTAGCCTGACAAGCTGTGCAAAATTGTGTTTCACTGCAAGGTGGAGGCAGGCATTCTGTTAATTGCAAGATAAAATGACAGTTATTCTCAGTGCGTGAAACAGTCTTCTTTATCCATCTCCTCACCCTACCCTCAGAAAGTCAGACCAAATCAGACACATTTAAACGTCCATATAGCCAATCCATGGGAAATAAACCCATAGACTATGTCAGGCTAACTTTGAGATGCATGGATTAACATAAAGTGTCACCAGACATGAGTAGTCTCTAGGGTGTAGCAGGTTGACCATTCTGCATGCTTCCTCCTGTATCTTATCCCCAAATCCTTTTACTGCTTTTCTGAAGCTCTAATACCTCATTTAAATATCTAGTCTTCAAATAAACAAAAGCAAAATACGATAGATACTGGAGATCTGAAATAAAAACAGGAAGTGCTATTGAAGCTTAGTGGGTCTGGCAGCATTTGTGGAGAGACATCAATAACATTTTGAGTTCAGGATAACTGTTTTGCTGCACAGTCATACTGGACTTGAAACAATAACTGTTTCTATTTCCATGAATGCTGCCAGATCTGCTGAGTTTCTCCAACAGCTTCTATCTTTATTCGTTATTCTACATGGGTCAGCATAGCCAATGAGCACGGTATTGAAATAAAGGGGTGAAGTAGCTGAGCCGAGCCCTGTTACCATCTGACATCTATGACTTTACCAAAATGGAATCTGATCAGAAGTGGAAATTCTGGTTGATTTATATTTCATTCTTCTCTAGAAAGTTTCTGTAACTAATTTTTGCTTGACTGAGATTAGTTAATTAAGCACAGATTTGGGGTCAAAACCTGAGTTTATACAGTGGTGAAGAAGGTTTCATTCTTACCTGACCTACTGCATTCATATCGATCCCTTCTTCCACCAATAAATGACAGACATCTTTATGTCCCTGTTTTACTGCGTAGTGTAGAGCATTGAGGTTTTGCTGATTAAGGAAGCAGGAATTAGATCTTTATTTGGACACAGCAAATCTACAGGTAATTACACAGTGATACCCTGTATCTGTTCACCAAAGTTGGCTCTTTATTGGTAAAATACAATACTTAAATGGCAATTCTTCTACACCCATAAAAAAGGGGATGGCCTGATCCTTTCAGTATCCCACTAGTCACTGGAAATTGGAGATGCAAGCAACAAAGGTACAGCTGTTATTATGGGCGACTTTAATCTGCATTTGGATCAGGCAATTCAAATCAGTAACAATACTGTAGAGGAAGAATTCCTAGAGTGTGAATGAGACTGTTTTCTGGATCAATTCACCGAGGAACCAACTGGAGAACAGGCCATCTCAGACCAGATATTGTGTAATGAGAGAGGAATAATTGGCAATCTAAGTATGTGAGACTCCTGGGGAAGAGTGACCATAATATAATAGAATTCTTCATTAAGATGGAGAGTGACACAGTTGATTCTGAGACAAAGGTCCTAACTTTAAATAAAGTATGATGGTATGAGACACAAGTTAGCCATCATAAATTGAGGAAAGTTACTTAAAGGGGTGACGGTGAATGGGCAATGGCAAACGTTCATAGACTGCATGGAGGAACTGTCACAATTGTTCATTCATTTCTGGCACAAAAATAAAAAAGGAACAGTGGCCTGAACATGGCTAACGTGGGAAATTAGGGATGGTATTAGATGCAAGGAAGGAGTATTCAAATTGACCAAGAAAAGCAGCAGGCATGCGGATTGGGAGCAGTTTAGATTTCAGCAAGACAGGCAAAGGGATTGATTAAGAAAGAGAAAAAAGTACAACTGTAAACTTGTGGGAATGCACAAACTGATTGTAAAAGCTTCTCTAGGTATGTTAAGAGAAAAAGATTAATGAAGACAAACGTAGATCCCTTACAATCAGAAAGAAAGGAAATTATAATGGGGAACAAAGAGGTGGCAGGCCATTTAAATACATATTTTGGTTCTGCCTTCGTAAAGGACACAAATAACGTCCCAAAAAATGTTGGGGAACACAGGATCTAGTGAGAGGGAAGATTGAAGGAAATCAGTATTTGGAGGAAATAGTGTTGAGGAAATTGATGTCATTAAAGGTAGATAGATCTCCAAGGCCTGATAATCTACATTCCAGAATGGTCATCTTTCAAGACTCTTAACAATTTCTATAGATTGCAGAGTAGCTAATGTAACCTCACTATTTTAAAAAAGAGGTAGAGAGAAAACAGGGAATTATAGACTGATTAGTCTGACCTCATTAATGGGGAAATGCTAAAGTCTATTATATTAGATTAATAGCACAGTACTAGAAAATAGTGACAGGATTGGATAGACTCAGCATGGATTTATGAAAGAGAGATCACACTTGACAAACCTACTGGAATTTTTCGAGGATGTAACTGATAGAGTTGATCTGGGGAGGAAAATGGATGTGGTTTACTTGGCTTTTCTGAAGGTTGTTGATAAATTCCTACATAAGAGATTAGCGTGTAAAATGAAAACACATGGCTTGTACTGACATAGTGTACTGACATAGATAGAGAACTGGTTGGCAAACAGGAAGCAAAGTGTAGGAATAAATGGATCATTTTCTGCATAGCTTTCAGTGACTAGTGGGGTACTGCAGGGATCAGTGCTTCGACCCCAGCTATTCAAAACATATACTGATTTAGATGAGGGAACTAAATGTAATATCTCCAAGTTAGCAGATGACACAAAACTAGATGGGAAAATGAACTGTGAGGAGGATGCAGAGATGCTTCAACGTGACTTGGAAAAGTTAAGTGAGTGGGCAGATAAAGTACAATGTGGATACATATGGATGGCAAGACTGACATATGAAGAGAAAGTGGATCAATTACGATTATATTCACTGTAGAAGAATGGAAGGAATCTCATAGAAACATACAGAATTCGAATAGGACTAGACTGAGTAAACGTAAGAAGGATGTTCCCAATGACCAGGAATTCCCAAACCAGGAGTCACAGTCTAAGGACAGGCCATTTGGGACTGAGATGAGGAGAAATTTCTTCACTCAGAGACTGGCGAGCCTGTGGAATTCTGTGTCACAGGAAGCAGCTAAAACCAAAACATTAAGCATTTTCAAGAAGGTAAAGGTCGAGATGGTGACAAAGTTGGACGCTCCGGTCGGAGCTCCTCTGCTCTGCCTGTTCTTTTCCCTCCTTTTTCCTTTCTTCCTCTTTTTTTTCCTTCTTCTATCCCCTCAGTACCAGAGCCAGTAGCAAGTCCAGAGCAGCGAGCCCTCGTGCCACGGACACCATGAGCTTTGAGCCCTGCAGCAGCGCGTGGACTGGAAGCAGTCCCCGAGCATCACGTAGGCAGCGAGTGCGAGCCGGCGGTAGCAGGCAGGAGAAGGCAGCCGATGGTGAATGCAGGACCACGCAGCCCATACCCTGGAGCAACAATGTCCTCAGAGCAACGGAGGGTCTGAAACCCGGATTGACGGAGGGGCCAAGGGACATTCTTGGCGGCATGGAGTGGGCTGGGAAGCTCAGAGTGGGACATTCTCAGTGGCACAGTGTGGACTGGGAAGCCTGGAGCAAGACTCTGGCAGTGGCATGCTGTAGCAGTGCAGAAGGGAAGTTTGGACTCTTTTTAAGTTATCCAGTTTTTACTACTTTATTCTATGTTTATTGTGAATGGCGCTTATGCACAACAACAGTACACGCTTTTCGCTGTATTTTATATTGACTACATGTGACAACAAAGGAAATTCAATTCAATTCGGAAGGAGTTAGGTATAATTCTTAGGGCTCAAAGGGATCAATGATATGGGGAGAAAGCAGGAACAGGGTACTGAGTTGGGTGATCAGCCATGATTATACTGAATGCTGGAGCAGAAAAACTGAACGGTCTAACTCCTGCTCCTATTTTCTAGGTTTGTATGTGATTGCTAATCCATACTCAACCCCAATTAAGCAATTCCTCACTTTTAAAATTTCCATCCTTGTTTTCAAATCCCTTCATTACATTGTCCCTCCCTATATTTGTAATCTCTTCTTGCCTGAAATCTCACCAAGATCTCTACACTGCTGCATTTCTGATGTTTTTAGCAGTACCCATTTCAGTCATGCCACAAACTGGCAATGAACCCTCTGCTATCAAGGTCCCCTCCACAGTTCTGGAATTCATTCCCTAATCCTAATGGCTCTCTTCCCTCTTTTAAGACGCTCCTAAAAGTTGACCTCTTTGACCAAATTTGATCATTAGCCCTGATATCATCGTCATAGGTGCAGTGTCAAATTTTGTTTGATAAAGTTCCATTGATGTATCTTGGGATTTTCACTACTTTAAAGATGTTGTATAAATGTAAGTGGTCATTGTGATAGACTCAGGTTTACACTGCTGTTTGGTACGGCTGTCTAAGATTATACTACATACTCACACTATTCTATGCTTCATGTTCTAGCCCTGTTGCACTTACACTGCTTCACATTTGTACTCACACTGCAACGCACGTTGATTTGACATTGGTTGTCAAGCAGCAATTTTACACAGTTGAAATGGCCACCTTCTGCTGCAAGATGTAGGGCAGTCTGTCCAGCCTGAAACAAGGTATAGGCAGACATGGAAAAATGCTCCAGTTGAAATAGACAACAACAGCAAGAAGCAACTGAGGAGAATTCTGAGAGAAGTCAACGCGCTCACCATAACTGAGAGATTGTGGAGGGCCCAGTGCTCAACAGGAGGAAGTGCATCCAACAGAGGATGGCACTGAGAAGCTACTAAGGAAGATTCTGTAAGAAGTTGGCTTGCTCACCATGACAGAGAAAGGGATCGCGGAGGTCAATGGGCAAGAAAGAGATAAGGCCTGGGTTAAATTGTATGCTTTTCTGATGAAGGGTCTAGGCCCGAAACGTCAGCCTCTCTGCTCCTATGATGCTGCTTGGCCTGCTGTGTTCATCCAGCCCTGCACCTTGTTGTCTCGGATTCTCCAGCATCTGCAGTTCCTACTATGTCTGTAAATACATGGTGTTTTTTGAATAAAATTGGGGAACTGGAAGCAAAAATTGGTCTGGGGGAGATTATATAGTAGTATTGACAGAAATGTGACTCAAGGCAGAACAGGAGTAGAAACAGGGTGGATACAAAGGGAGGAGGTATAGCCATTGTAGTCAAAAATAGTATAATTGCCCTTGAATGAGATGCAGCTCCTGAAATACAGTCTATATGGTTGGAGGTAAGAAACAGGACGGGTGCGGTGACCTTGTTAGTAAGTATATGTCAAATGATAGGGAGGAAGTAGAAGAGAGCATTTGTAGGCAAATTATGGAAATCTACAGGACAGGTAGAGTTGTGATAGTTGCTGATTTCAATTACCCTAGGGTAGACTGGGAAAAAGGTACTTTGTAGGGAACAGAAGGGGAGAAATTCCTGCAATGTGTGCAGGAGAAATTTTTGGAACAGTGCATTTCCAGTCCTACGAAGGAGGAAGCTGTGCTGGATCTGGTTTGAAGAAATGAGGGAAGCCAAGTGGAGAACATCAGAGTGGTGGAGCATTTGGAAAATAACGATCATAATATAATAATGTTCAATATTAAGTTAAAAAAGGATAAAAATCAGTCAGTGATTTATATCCCAGACTGGAAAATTTCAGGTTTTACAGGTCTAAAATTTGAACTGGAGCAGGTTGATTGGAAACACATTTTGGTGGTTAAAACAGTGGATGAAAAATGGGAGAATTTATAAAGAGTTGAATAAAGTAGGAATATACCCATGAGAAATAAATATGGTATCCAAAGCTAGATGACTAAGGGTGTTGATGAAAAAATAAGAAACAAAGAGAAGGCATATACTGCATATTGGGATGATAATAACAATAGAAATCATGCCATATCTCAAAAACAGGGCAGAGGTTAAAGCTGGAATAAGGAAGGCTAAAAGGAAGCAGGAAACAAACAGTAAAATGTTCTTCAAACATATTAATAATAAAAGATTAGTGCAGGATAGAGTGGGACGCATTACAATTAAGCAGGGTAAACTGCTCACTGAAGAAAAAGATATGGCAGAGGTACGAAATGAATATTTTGCTTCTGTCTTTACCAAATTACGAGGTGGTAACAATGGCCTAGTTGAAAACGTGGGTGTTGAGCAAATGAACAATATAGTGATAGATAAAGAAGAGGTGCTAAAAAGGCTGGCAGCACTCCAGGTAGGGAAGTCTCCAGGCCCAGACGGGGTGCATTCTAGATTGCTGAGAGAGTTAAGGCAGCAAATTATGGAACTGTTGACAGAAAATTTCCAGGCCTTTCTGAACACAGGATTAGTCCCATGAACTGGAGGATTATAAATGTGAAACCATTCTTTAAGGGGCAAAGGACAACCCAGGAAACTACAGATCTGTCAGCTTGACATCAGTAGTGGCAAAACTGGTGGAGGCCATCATACGGGGTAATGTAAATATACACTGAGACCAAAAACGAGTTAATACTAGATAGTAAACATGGCTTTGTCAGGGGCAGGTCATGTCTGACAAATTTAATTGAGTTTTTTGACGAGGTGATACAGGCAGTGGATGAGAGCAGTGCTGTGGATGTTGTATATTTGGACTTTCAAAAAGCATTTGATATGGTCCCATATGGCAGGTTGGTTAGCAAACTTTAACTGTTTGGGATTGATGGGTCCTTGGCAACATAGATTAGACATTGGCTAAAATGTAGAAAACAGAGAGTAGGTATAGATGGGCATTTCTCAGATGGGAGACAAGTTGAAAGTGGTGTTCCCCGGGGATCTGTGTTGGGGACCTTTGCTTTTTCTGATTTATATAAACAATTTGAGGTGAGGGTTGAAGGCAAAATCTCTAAATCTGCAAATGACACTAAGCTCAGGAGAGTAGTGAATTGTGAGAATGATGCTGAGCAACTTCAGGGGGACACTGACAAGTTGGCCAAATGGGCAGACGCCTGGTAGATGAATTTCAATGCAGAGAAATGTGACATATTGCATTTTGGTAGATGAAACACGGACAGTCAATACAGGCTCAATGGTACAACTTTGAGGGGAGTACAGGAACAGAGGGACCTTGGGGTTCATGTGCATTCTCCGTGTTCTTACTACATCAGACTGAATGCCGCCTTGAGCCTGCCTCACTGACGCTGCAAAGCAAGTGGTCACATACAAACCTGTGCATTGGTCCATGACTAACCTTGTTTTTGCTCTCAGAGAAGATCCCCTGTATCAGATTCTCCAGCACGTGCACATGGCCCTGACCCGCTGCCAAATGAATGCAGCTATTTCTTTCCTGGGGTGGGAATTAAGTTTTAGAGACATAATGTTAACCATGGGACAAGATCATGCTTAGACCAGCAACAACCCAATAAGTTCATGGGTAGGGTCCTGGAATCCATACTGGAAGTACCTTGTCTTGAAACTGGTGGTCACAGCCTAGGGCATGAAGATATGTCACCACATCCAACTGGCCATTTTCTGCTGCCAGTAGTAATGGCGTCTTTCCAGTCTGAAAAACAAAGTGTGGTCCAGTAACTGAGACAAAAACACAGACATTCTCTACACTGAACTGTACTACTCAAGCATCCCAGACATAGAACACATGTCCCCCTTTGTGGATAAAAATGGGAAGGGCTGGGAATTTGAAAATGAAGAATATTAGGAAAGAAAGATTCTGAGTAGCATGGCAGTATCAACAAAATAAGAAAATTGCAGGAGGTGAGAGAAGGGCCTAAGTACAGGAGTGTGAGAGGGCATTTAAGATTTTTATTCATCCACAGGATAAAGGCGTTACTGGCTAGGCCAGTATTTATTGCCCATCCCTAATTGCCCAGAGGACAGTTAAGAGTCAACTACATTGCTGTGGGTCTGGAGTCACATGCAGACCAGACCAAGTAAGGACAGCATTTTCCTTCCCTAAAGGACATCAGTGATCCAGATGCGCTTTTATGACAATCTAGAATGGATTCATGGTCATCATTAGACTCTTAATTCCAGACATTTGTTTAATTCAAATTCCACCATCTGGCATGGTGGGATTGACCTCAGGTCCCCAGAACATTACCTGGATCTCTGGATTAACAATCCAGAGATAATACTACTAGGCCATTGCCACTCCACTTAAGAGAACCCCCTAAAATGGAATTGTGATAAAGGGCTTACAGAAATGCCTCCTCATATATCACAGCAGACGGCACAGATCAAAGGATAGTTGCAGATAAGCAGGTCCCATTCACTTTGCCCTGTTTCTTGTTAAGCATCAGAATTGAGAGATGACATAGTCCGAAACCAAAGAGAAGCTGGTATCCCAATTTAATATTCACATCATCGTATTATAGACACCACAAGAAAATGTAACAGTATTACAGCATATGAAGGTTAATGAGTACCACAGCAGTGAAGGTCTGATGGGCAATAGCTCTCACCTGGTCTGGTTTGTCCAATGGGACCTCCTGTAGCTCCTCTATTGTGTAGCGGATAATAGCCATATGTCCCTGGTGAGCAGCACAGTGGTGTATACCCTGTCCAATCTGAACAGAATTCAAATGAATGAATGCATAACAAATTCTTTCCAACTTGATCCTTGTATTACTGATTGTATCTCAATAATCCAGCTCTCTCTCACAGCCACTCAGTAAGAAGACACACCCCTGCAGCCTGTGTTACTGACTGCATTTCTACTGTAGAAAATTCAGCTCCATCGATCACCCTGTAATGCCTCCTCCCAGTACCTTGTATAATGGTATTGTATCTTTAATGGTCTTAATCCAACGCTTCAGATTTTGACACAATAACCCATTTCAGTTAGCACCTAATGTTGCAACATCAACACAGAATAAGACAAAATCTCTAAAAGAACTTGGGGGCGACAGGTGAAAGGAAAAAATAATTTTTATTTACATAACATGGTCATTACCTTCTAACTCAAATATTCTGTGTCTCAAAGTATCCACAGCATTATTCAGCGTTGCTTCATTTCTACTGTTAGTCCAATTCCATCCAGCTCAGTAACCTTCCACCCCAGCACCTTGTATAACTTACTGTATTTTGACAGATATTAATCCAACTCCTTCACACAGTCATAACAGCAGACTGTGGATGCTGGAAACCTGAAATAAAAACAGAAAGTGCTATCCGCTGCAGATCTGGCAGCATCTACGGAAAGAGAAACTGAGTCTAATATGACTCTTTTTCAGAATTGAAGAGTGATAGAAGTGTGATGAAAAGGGTCAGGTATATTGCCATTTTAATACACAATTTGTTCTTACGCTCACATTTCTAACCTGCAAGCTTGCAGAACGTACCCATAAAAGAGGTGTCAACCTGGTGAAGCAACAATACAGGACTACTTACATGCCAAACAGTATAAGCATCAAGTGACAGACCAACTAAGTGAGCCCACATTCCAACGAATCAGATCTAAGCTCTGCAGTTGTGAACAATTAAATGACTCACTAGAGGAGGAGGCTCAACAAATATTCCCATTTCCAATAATTTGGGGGGATGGCAGCACGTCAATGCAAAATATAAGCTGAAGCATTTGCAACAATCTTCAGCCATCTCAGACTTCTTCAGAGGTCCTCACCATCACAGCTTCAGCCAATTCGATCATTCCATGTGGTATCAAGATGGTTGTGGTTGTTGGGGGTCAGTCATTTCAGGTCCATGACACACTTCTGCACAAGATCCTCAGAGCAGTGTCCTAAGCCCAACCATCTTCAGCTGATTCAGCAATGACCTTCCCTCCGTGATTAGGTCAGAAGTGGGGACATTTGCCAATGATTGCACAATATTCAACACCATTCAAGACTCCTCAGATGTTGAAGCAGTCCATGTTCAAATGTGGCAAGATCTGGACAATGTCCAGTATTGGGCTGACAAGTGGCAAGTAACATTTGCACCACACAAGTGCTGAGCAACGACCATCCTGAATGAGAGAAAATCTAACCAACCTCTACTGACAGTCAATAGCTCTACCACTGCTGGACCCTCAACTATCAACATCCATCGGCCGGCACGTGGAGCAAGTCCTGGGTAGCAGCCAAAATGGGGGAAGCAGTTCCAGGCAGCAGCCGACACATGGAGCAAGTCCCGGGCAGTGGCCTATGCAAGGGAAGCAATTCCTGGCAGCGGCTGACGCAGGGAAGCATTCCCAGGCAGTGGCTGGCACTGAAGTGAAGTGAATCCCGGGAGGAGACCGGCGAGGGGGAAGCAGTCTTGGAACTTACCTTGGTGAAGCTGAGGGCTAGTACGGAGCGGACTGGAGGCTGGAGCGGGGACGGTTGTTGGACTGGAGTACAGTGCGGGCGGTCAGGCCACGTGGGGAAGCCCCTGCGCTGAGCCACTGTAATGTATTTGAACGGCTTTTTTTTAATCTGACTGGGGATATTTTTAACGTATTCTTTAAACACTGTAATGTAGAAGTAATGCAACTACTGTTTCTTTTATTCCTCTTTTGTATCTATTACTTGTACCAAAGATGGCATCATAAAAAGTGACATTGTAAAACTTTTCACTGCACTCCTTTACTTCTGTACTTGAGTACAGATGACAAAAAGGATGTTCCATATTCCAATATCATTGACCAGAAACTGAACTGGACTAGCCATAAAAATACTGTGCCTACAAAACAGGGCAGAGGTTAGGAACCCTGCCATAACCACAAACATTTACTCCAACCACCACTGATGGACAATAGCACTGTGTGTACCATTTACAATGTGCACCACAGAATTTTTGCCAAGTCTCCTTAGACAGTATCTTCCAAACCCACACCACTACCATCTAGGAGGACGAGGGCAGTAGATATATAGGAACACTGCCACCTGCAAAATCCCCTCCAAGCCAGTCACCATCCTGACTTGGAAATATATTGCTGTTCCTTCAGTGTTGCTGGGTCAAAATCCTGGAACTCCTCCCTAATGGCACTGTGGGTCTACCTCCAGTACATGGACTTCAGCAGTTCAAGAAGGCAACTCACCATTACCTTATCAAATACAACTAGAGGTGACAATAAATCCTGGCCCAGCCAGTGAAAATGGCATCTCATGAATAAATAAAACAACTCCTCATCTTCCAGCTAGACATTTGCAGCCTTCTGGACTCAACATTGAGTTCAACAACTTTAAGCCATGAACTCTGTCCTCCATTTTGATTCCATTTTTCATCAATTGGCTGTCTGCATTTTGTTTCAATGTTTTTGCTTTCTTTCAGAGAGAGCTATTCTTTATTTTGCCATCAACACTTCATGTGGACCAGGGCTTTCTTTGCCCTTTGCTCAATGTCACTTAAATTTTCCTGTTCTCTGACCTATCCCCAACCTTCCCTTTTGTTAGGTCTGACCATCTCCCATTACGTTCCACCCCACCACTCCAATAGTATAAAACGTATCACATTTCAAGCTCTTTTCAATTCCAATGAATCATATTGGAGTTGAAACATTAACTCCCTTTCTTCCTCCACAGATGCTGCCAGATCTGCTGTTATTTCTGTTTTCATTTTTGTTACGTTTTCATCTTTCACATTTTCACTTGTAACTCCTGCACCCACAGGCCCTATTTTAATAACTGTATCTCTACTGATAAGCACCTCTCACATTGTTAGTTGATAATTACTCAGCCGGTTCCCTGTGTCCTCATAATGCTGCTCAGTATTCTGTCTCCAGCATGTCGCCGACTGCGTCTCAGATGTCAATCCTGTTCCCTCACATGATTGGGCTCAGTAACTCATCACAGCTGGTTCATTTATTCCATTTGTAATTCAAAGAAAGTAGGGTCATTTAGTACTGAGAGACTGATGCAACTGCTTAATGTTTGAATTTTGAGATGCTGTTAAGAACCTGCTTGTGAAACTATTCCAATGCTGCACCATACTCACGTCGCCCCCGATAGGATTGCCATCTGGAAATTACCGAGTTCCTGATGGTGACCTTTGCTCCAGCATTGACCAGGATCTGTAAAAGTTGAAGATGGCCAAACCAAGCTGCAAGCAGAGCTGGTGTCATTCCAAACTACAAATGAAGAAAAGTTTTTTTTTTGAAATGTTCAATATTTATTCAGGCTATGGAAGAGATAGTATACTATATCAAAGATATTTTATATCATGAGTCCTTGATTTTTAACATTGTTGTTCGACACAGCATGACAATAATAACAGAGTTAGGGCAAACAGCGGGTTACAATGGGTTACACTCCAGCAACCAACTCAGGCTGCATCCCTCAAGAAACCCAGAAACCTAACAGCCCACATTTTCCAACATCAGACAAAGAACAGAAGGAGGTAAATTCTCTCAATTGCAGAAAAAGGACTTCCTATGTAAATAACAGTTAAAACCAGTTTAACAACAGAAAGTATTACAACTGCCATTTATTACTAACACATTTACAATATTAGGACTGGAAAGCAAAGCCTGCTTTCTAGGGTCAGCTCATGCTTTGCGTGCTCTCTGACTTTATGATTGTCATACATAACTGTTAGCTAAGAGGATGAAGCCTGTGAAACTAAGGACAAATTACTGAGCTGGTTATAAGAAACTGAATGAGCAGCAGCAAAGTCAGGAAAATGGCAGCTACTGATTTTTTCATGATTTAGATGGTGGGACAGAAAGCTCCAAATATATCCATGACACAAAGGTGGGCAGCACTGTAAGCAGAGTAGATGGAAGTGGGAAGGTACAAAAAGATACTCAAAGATCAAGTGAATGAACAAGACTGTGCCTAATGCATTGTAAAATAAGTAAATGTGAGCTCATCAGTTTATCACACTCAAGAGGAAACTTCAATCACACACAGCTTCCTTTGGGTTCAGGTAATGCCAGAAGTCTGTTCAGCCACAAGGATGAGCTTTGGACCCACACTTTGTAAATCTCTGCTGCAGAAGGCAGTGAAGGAGAATTCACTGAATATTTTTAAGTGTTCAGCAGATTCTTGTTAAGCAAAGAAAGCCAAGATTATTGGGGGTTAGAAGGGAAAATGAAATTCAAAACATAAATAGATCAGCTATGATCTTGTTGAAAGGCAGAGCAGGCTAAAAGAACTGAATGGCCTTTTTCTGCTCTGAATTCATATATTTGTATGGTGTACAGATTGTCACAAATCACTTGGGTAAGTGTGATGGAAATCAAACCCCAGTACCTGATCTCTCTTGTATTTCCATTAAGCCCAAACACTGTGCCACTCCTTCATTAACTTCCATGTTCTTAGCCCTGCAGACAATTTCATTTCCAGTTCACATGCAATTCAATAAACCTGGCTTTTGTGATCTCTTATAAGTTTGTCATGGGCATCTCTCCCACATGCAGAAAGGCTTTAGTAGTTTCAAATGCCATCTTATTTTTGATAATACAAGATCTAGTGTTTCCTTTTATCCCTTTATGATTTACCATCTCCACACCCAATCTCAGTTCCAAAATCCCAACCCCAAGCTCCCAAATGTTGTTGGGGTAGTGCACTAGAAATCAAATCCCAACAATCCTGGAGTTATTACAAATGTGAAAAGATTTTAGTCAAACTATCCAAAGTCTTCAATTTATCTGACTGGTGAACTCAGGTTAAAAGAAAACACTCACTAGGTTTTTGTACTTAAGATGAAAATATCTGTTTATTACGAACAAATTGTCTTTATAGCAATTAGGAAATATGGATTGTTGACATAAGTTCTACCCATTTTAAAATTCCCCTTTCATGATCAGAGAAATACACAAAGACACACAAGAAATGAAAAACGCTATCAGGGAGACACCATTCGACAGCACCGGTCTGCACCACAGGAATTGATTAGTTTCGTTCTTTCTCTTCCTTTTAGTTCTTTGCTTTGGATACAAGATTGTCTACACATTGATGCTCTCTTTCATTCAGTGATTTGAGAGTTTGTCCTTTCACTGTCTTTTAAGATGTTTTATTCTTTCTTCAAGTGAGGATTTGTAGAGGATGGTAAGTGGAAGACAGCTAGCTGTCACTGGAGACTTTCTGGTACCTCCACATGAGAAAGAGAAGGAGTGAGAGAGAAAGAAAGAGAGAAAGAAAGAAAGGGAGAGAGAAGGAAAGAGAGAGAGAAAGAAAGAAAAAGACAGAAAGAAAGTGAGAGAGAAAGAGAGAGAGAAGGAAAGAGAGCGAGAAAGAAAGAAAAAAACAGAAAGAAAGTGAGAGAGAAAGAGAGTGAGAAAGACAGAGAGAGAGACATTGTTTTAGCTATTTCCCACATAAGCCAAGTCATCTGGTAACTAGACATTCAAAACGTTATCAGTAAGCACATGTTCATTAATTCAGAACCCATCAACTCCATGGGATCTGCTTTTATACTTACTGGTCTGGGGAAAGAAACATTGTTTATAACTCAGTGTGCGCCAGTAAACATGATTTTTAAAACTGCAAAGATTTCTTTACAGTCTCCTTGGTTTAAAGCAGTAACTTTTCCAGTCCACAGTCCAAAAATAAAGGAAATTAAAATATGCTGTCTCACAGCTGGTACATGAAATTCAGTTGCAGAATGGCCACAATTTCACTGAATGGTAAAACAGGTTGAAGGGGCAAAGTATGTTATTTCTGTTCCAGAGTTACATTTACAGCATAAAACTGATGGTAAATCACCAGGCCAACTGAACAAGAACACGTCAGTCAAAGATATAAGGGTGATCAACATTCTACATTAGTTCTTTAATAAACACACCTTGTCCTCAATGTCAACATTTGCATTGTGGTCCAGTAAAAGCTTCACGGCATCTTCATTTCCACCTGCAACTGCCCAGTGCAGTGCTGTTCTATTGTCCTAGACCAACACAAAACATGAGAACTCACTTAACAGAATGTTAGGGTGTCCAGAGTATGCAATAAAGCCTAGCAGTTTCTTTAAATGATCAATGCAACCAACTCATTCCATCCCTCAGCTCACCACCTCGTCCCATCCCTCAACCCGCCACCTCGTCCCATCCCTCAACCCCACCTCCTTGCCACATCTCTCAAACCCACCTCCTCGCCCATCCCTCAACCCTACCTCCTTGCCTGGTTCCTCAACCCACCTCCTCATTCTATTCCTCAAACACGCCTCCTCACATCGTCCCTCAACCCCGCTTCCTCTTCTCAACCCTTAACCCCACTATCTCATTACCCCATCCCTCAACCCCGCCTCCTTGCACTGTCCCGCCAACCCCACCTCCTCGCCCCATTCCCCCAACCGCGCCTTCTCGTCCTGTCCATAAAGACTGGCTCCTCACTATGTCTCACAACTCCACCTCCTCATCTCATTCCTAAAGCCTGCCTCCTCATCCTGTCCTACAACTCTGCCTCACGCTGTCCCTCAAGCCTGCCTCCTCTTCTCATCCCTCAACCCCATTACCTCATCACCCTATCAATCAACCCTGCCTCCTAACCCCATCCCTCAACCCTCTACCTCACTCGGTCCCTCAAACCTATCTCTTCATCCTGTCCCTCAACCTCACCTCCTCACCCCATCCCACAACACTGCCTCCTGACCCCGTTCCTCAAACCTCTAACTTGCTCGGTCCCTCAAACCTATCTCCTCACCTTGTCCCTCAACCCCGCACCCTTGCCCCATCCCTCAATCTGCCACTCGTCGTGTTCCTTAATCCCACCTCCTCGCCCCATACTTCATCCCCGCCTCCTCGCCAAGTCCCTCAAACCCGCCTCCTCGCCACGTCCCTCAAACCCGCATCCTCACCCTGTCCCTCAGCCACGCCTTCTCAATCTGTCCTTCAACTCCGCCTCCTCGCTCCATCCCTCAACCCCGTTACCCCGCATAGTCCCTCAACTCCACCTCCTTGTCCGGTTCCTCAACCCTGCCACCTCGCCCCATATCTTATCCCCACCTCCTCGCTGCATCCCTCAAACCTGCCTCTTCGCCCCATTCCTCAATCTGCCATTTGTCCCGTCCCTCAGCTCCCTCTCCTCACCTTGTCCCTCAATCCCACCTCCTCACCACATTCCTCAACCCTGCCCCCTCACAACACCCCTCAAACCCTTCTCCTCGTCCTGTCCCTCAACAGTGCTCCTCACGACATCCCTCAGACTGTCCTCCTCGTCGAATCCCCCAATATCATGTACTCATCACATTCTTAAAGCCCACCTACCCACTCATCCCTGAACTCCACCTGCCTACCACATCCTTCAACTCTGATTATTCCATATAATCCTCACAACAAATTCACACTCACACTGCATGATTAAAAATGATCGTGACTCAGAATCAAAGTACTTGACCCAAGTAATTCATGGTAATATTTATAATCCACTTGAGGCTCCTCCACCTTTCCACATTTAAATCTCTAATTGTAATCCTGGCATTCTGCTTATCAATCTATTTTACTAGAGCTGGAGCAAGAGCTTTTTTTTGACTTTCCTCGAAACACCAGCAAAATGTACCCTGGATTTGACAACATTTGCCTGAACTAATTTTGTTACAATTTCCCTTTGTAATCTTTAAAAGTTCGATTCAGTCTGTTTCACAGAAATAAAACTAACAAAAAACAGTGATTTGGGTATTGACCTGCAATTCAGAACCAAAGTGCACACCCAGAAGAAAATTCTGGCAGTGAACCATTTGTAGCCTGAGTGAAGAGCACTGCAACGCAGCAGCACTTATTATTATTGTGTTTAATCTGTTTAGTTGGAATATTTTACTGCCCATTCCTTCTGACTGTTGATTTTGGTTTTCCTTTTGGATATTTTAAAATTTGATTGGTAAATTTTTTATTTTATTCTAGTTTGATGTTGTTCAGGACCAAATCATGGAGAAAATTTCAAGCACTCACATTATTCTTTGCATTGACATTTACTTTGATGCAAATCAGTCGCCTGATCATTGCTGTGTCATTCCTCCTGGCAGCTTCCTGAAGCTCCTTTTCTGTTTGCAATACTGGGAGCAGACAAAATATGTCAGCATGGCAGGTATAGCACAGTGTAACATAAAGAATAAAGCTCCCACTACTCCGACCCAAATAAACTCTCCCAGGACTGGTACAGCAAGGACTTAGATACAGATTAAAGCCCCCTCTATGCTTTTAAATTGGGAATAAAGCTACTTTCAGACTGTCCCCATCAACACTCACATGACAGAAAACACTGAGTTACATACAGAGTTAAGCTTCCTCTACTGTTTTAAACTCAACACAAATCTACCTCTACTCTTTTAAAACTGAAATGAGATGAAAAATAAATTTTCCTCGACACCGTCCCCATCAAACACTCCTGGGACAGGTACAACATGGAATTAGATACAGAGTAAAGCCTCCTCTATTCTCTTAAACTGAAAGTAAAGCCATCTCTACACTGTCCCCATCTATCAATCCCAGGTCAGTGATAGCATGGGGTTAGACACAGAGCAAAGCTCCATCTACACTGAAAGTAGTTGTCTCAAACATTGTCAGAAAGGCAGAACTTGGTTTATAACAAGTAAGGAATATGTTGAGGGGAGATTTCATCCCGTACTTATAGAACAGTAGCTCAAACCACAGTCTCCTTGTTATAAACTGAGATTAAATATCGCTTTGCAGGCCATTGATACACGGGCTGTGACAAACAGATGAAGTGAGTGCACTGAGCAGGTTTAAACTCAGTGGTACAGTTCAAGCCAAGAAGCAGGTAGGTTTGTATAACATTGCTAAATCCCAAACTAAGGTTAGACATTCGAAGGAAGCAATTTTTCTCACAGTTCTCATCCTCAAACACAGGCTTGTCGTTCATGATCTGATATTCATGGATGTCCGGTTCCACAACTTGTGCTGCGACAGATCTGAACAGAGTTTTAATATTGCCACACCCTCCACACACTCACAGGTGAGACTCAAAGCTACCTGTTAACCTGCTATTTGCTGAATGCAGATGGGAAGGAAATATGTAGGGAGAAGGAAAGGCTAGGGAAGGAACTGATGGGAGGATTGAGTGGGCAAGATGACATGGAGGGCAGGACTTGGGGAAGGAACCAAGAAGGGGGGTGGGCCAGAGAGAGAGGAGGAGAGGGAGAGCTAGAGAAAGAGAGAGAGAGAGGGAGGGGGCGAGAGAGACAGAGACAGAGAGATGGCGGGGTAGAGAGAGAGAGATGGGGGGGAGAGAGAGAGAGGAAG